GATGAGTCCTCTCCTCCCCTGTCTTCTACTACTACTAGTAGCCTCTGACTCTCACCAACCCGCCTCCAACCGGCTGCAGCAAATGGACGCAGAATGGTCATGACCTCAAACTGGCCTGCACTCTTCAGCTCTCCACAAAATGTGCTTTGCTCCAACTAAAACTGGCAAACGGCTCTGTATGGATTTCCTAATACTTCAAGTTTCTTCCCAGCATGATTACTATAGCAAATCATGCTTGCTCAAGCCTCCATGTTTATACAGTAGCATATAATGCTACCCATGTTCCTTGTATTTTTTACAAGTCTTTTTTATTCCTCCTCCTTCCCCTCAGTACCAGTCAATTCGTACAAAACTACCCTCCTCACAATCCTTCAGTTCAAAATGAAAACCTTCCACGACAACGATCGACACAAGCCCACAACAGATTCCCATGGGATGATCGCTACCCACGTCATTAAAAACCCCATCTTTCTTCACTCTCTCCGAAACAATGTCAATACCTCATACAAACCATCAACAAAAAGAAAAGATGATTAATATATCATCGCTAAATGTCAGAGGCCTCAACTCGCCTTATAAAAGATCCCTACTTTCAAGAGAAGCTCGGTCTTTACAAGCAGACATACTATTCCTACAAGAGACCCACTTCGCCTCTACTAAAATCCCCAAGTTCAATATCCACCACTATACCTCAACTTATATGTCAACAAACCCCAAGAAAAAAAACAGGATCATCACAGCCATAAGAGACTCCCTCCAATTTCAATTCATCTCCGAAACAGTGAACCCACAAGGCCGCTACCATATATTGAAACAGGATCATCACAGCCATAAGAGACTCCCTCCAATTTCAATTCATCTCCGAAACAGTGGACCCACAAGGCCGCTACCATATATTGATCTGTAAAATCACAGACATTCTGTACACATTAGTCAATGTCTATGGCCCAAACGCAAATCATCTTCATTTCTTCAACAAACTCAACGCGATCATTTCTCAACACAGAAAAGGCAGACTAATCATTGACGGAGACTTCAACATCATCGGTAACCAGCTCCTAGACTCCTCCAATAGATGCGCCTCCAAACAGACCCTTAACCACTTTCTACACTCCAACGATCTATATGATGCCTGGCGATGCCAACACAGTATGGAAAGGGACTACACATACTATTCTCTATCTCATCTATCCTACTCCAGAATAGACTTCTTCATCACCGACAAATGGACTCTGCAACATATCACTTCCTCTAAGATTGGCACCATCACATGGTCAGACCATGCCCCGATTAGTATCTCTCTTGACCACCAACAATTCTCACAGATCCCTCGGCTTTGGCGACTGAACTCTTCCCTACTGAAGAATCCAGACCTCAAGAAATGCATATTGGATGCACATCACACATTTTTTGAACTCAATGATACAACTGACATATCTATTTCCACCCTATGGGCTACTTACAAGGTATACATGAGAGGTATTCTCATACAACCTAATTCCCACATCACTAAACAAAGAAACCAACAAATAGACAAACTCCTCTCCTCCATCAAATCAAAAGAAGAAATCAACAAAAAATCCCCAGACCCCTTAATTGCTTCCTTTCTTAATACAGACAGAAACAAACTATGATCCCTTTTATTATATAAATATGACCTTAATCTCCAAAAGATGAAATTAAAATATTACTCACTAGGAAACAAAGCTAATTCAGTACTATCTGAACTCATCAAACAAAAACATCTAAAATCTAAAATTGCATCAATTAAACATCCAACCACCCATACCCTATATACCAACCCACAAGATATAGCTAACGCTTTTGCAAATTATTATCAAAACTTATGCAACCTTAAAAACGATTCTGACACCACGCAACCTACACTCACATCCATACAAACATTCCTACACACAACAAAACTCTCCCAACTTTCGCCATCCCAACTTGCTGACATTTCTATCCCAATCTCCCCCAAAGAGATAGAAACAACTATTAAAACACTACCACTAAACAAATCTCTGGGAAAGACGGATACACAAATGAATATTACAAGCACCTCGCCTCAGATCTATCACCTTACCTGACCAGACTTTTTAATAATGCAGCCGAAACTGGCATTTTCCCTAGAGACATGCTACAATCTATTATCTCAACTATACCAAAACCCGGAAAAGACCCACAACTTGTTCAAAATTATAGGCCGATATCGTTACTTAATACTGATATAAAACTCTACGGAAAAATCATATCACGCAGACTTCTCTCCTATCTTCCTATCCTAATACATCCAGACCAAGTAGGTTTCATTCCAGGTCAGCAAGCACCAGACGCTACGTGAAGAATCATATCACTCCTCCACAATCTACAACTTTCTAAGTGCTCTTCCTTACTACTATCCCTAGATGCAGAAAAAGCATTTGACCGTATACACTGGAAATTTATGCAACTCACACGCCAGAAATTTGGAATTACAGGTTGGATGTTGATAGCCATACTATCCCTATACTCACATCCCTCGGCTAGAGTACTAACAGATGGAACACTATCCGATCCTTTTGACATCACAAACGGCACTAGACAAGGCTGCCCACTCTCCCCGATAATATTCGCACTCCTCATCGAACCCTTAGCTTCCAAACTCAGAGATGATCCGTCATTTACCGGCATCAAATATCTCAACACAGAACATAAATTTGCAGATGACATCATTTTGATGGTGACCAATCCCAACAAATCCCTCACAACAATTCGTAACCACCTCCATACCTACTCGACTGTCAGGAATGGACTTGCCAGTAATGGTGGGACCCACCTGCCTTGTGGGCTGCAGTACCAGGGCTGGCCAGCGGGTGCTCCCGGCAATCAGAGACTCAAACCTGCAGCCAGCCAAACACCTGAAGCTGATCATGCAGGTGTATTTAAGGGATGGCCAGACCTGCAGTCTCTGCCTTGGTGTGTGTGTTTTCCTGGGCCCTGTATCTTGTTACCTGCATCCCTGTTCCTGTTCCTGTCTGACTGATTCGTTGCTGACCCTGCCTGATCCGGACCTCTGCTGACTTCTCCTGTTTCATCCCTGGCTTGTGACCCCGACCATTCTCTGCCTGACCCCCTGTACCTACCTGCCCGATTGTTATTGACCCGGCCTGCCTGACGACGCTTGCAATGTATGTACTGTTATCTGTGGGTGGTTTGGTTTGGTTCGTTTGCACTGTGTTATGTTTTAGTATTGCACTGCGTTTATGTTTGTATTTTTAGTCTTTAATAAATTATATTGTTTATAATTTATCTGAAGCCTGCGTTTCCCTACGTCAGTCACATACCTTTGGTCACACCCCGGAGTCCTGACATCGACAGTCTCCTACTATAAACTCAATTAATCCAAGTCTTCAATATTAAATCTTCATATAGCGCCCCAAGACCAAAAAATATTGACTACACAATTTCCATTTTCCTGGGAAACTCACAGTATCCCCTATCTCGGAATCAGACTAACCGCAACAACAGACCAAATATACCTTGCAAATCACAAGAAACTCCTTGAAACTCCTTGAAAAATTTCTACTCTCCGCACCTCAGAACTCTCCAAACTAGGTCGTGTAGCGACTCTGAAAATGTACATACTACCCAAAATCCTGTACATATTCCGTATGCTTCCAATACCAGTTCCTAATGCTTTCTTCTCCAGACTGCAAACAATCTTCACAAAATTCCTATGGAACTCCAAAAAGCCCAGATGCACTACTAACCTTCTCATATGCACCACAACCAGAGGAGGAGCAGGTCTCCCCCACCTGAAATCTTACTACAATGCCACTCTACTTGACCAAATATACTTTTGGTGGAACCCTTCGAAAGAAAAAATATGGTCCACAATGGAAACTCTCCCATTTTACCCTCTTGATCCACAAAACCTGCTCATAACACCGCATACAGCCCAATTTGAATATCAATTGCAACACCCCTGTATCAAAGCCACCCTTCAAGCTTGGCAAGATCTCCTTACCACCAAATTCACTGATATTAAACACATCCCTACTCCACTCAATTTACTACACGTCCTTACACCCTCCTTAAACTTAACCCAATGGACAAAACAAGGCATATTACACATTACTGACCTCTATAATGACCAAATCCCATGCTCGTTCCAAAATCTTCAAACTAAATACAATCTCCCTTCTACCGAATACTTTACCTACCTAAGAATTATACATTGCTTACAAACAATGAAAATACCTTACTCTACAAAGCTCCCAATTAACGCCTACCATTTCTTTACCAAAACACAATATCCCGGCAAGGGCATTTTTACCTTTTATACGTTCCTCACTAACCTACAATTCGCCATACAATCTACCTCCTCAACAAACTGGGAAAAAATACTTTTGGAACAAATCACAACACAATCATGGGAAAGAGCGTTCAAATCCACCCGGTGCACCTCACACTGGGAGTCATACCTAAAAATCCTTCACCAATGGTACCTAACTCCCGTCAAGCTCTCTACCTACTATCCTACTATCCAATCACAGCAGGTCACATGACAGTTGTATACAATGGATGGCTTTATTCATGCCACCTATTGTATACTAGTGTCTAGCTGTGAATGGTCACAGCGATCACATGCACATGTCATGTGATTAGCTGTGGCCAAATCACAGCTAAGCACAAAAAAAAAAAGAACCCTGAATGAATCGATGCCATTCATGTAAATGCTTGATTATAGCAAAGTAATTCTTTGCTATAAGCAAATAGTGTAAAAAAAAAAAAATACTGATCACTTCCCCAAAGTAGTACAATGTTACTACGGTAACATTGTACTACTTTGGACATAGTGAAATATGAAAAAAAAAATCTTAAATAAAAGAAAATAAATTAAAAATAATAAATAAATAAAAAATTTAAAAAAGAATATATATATTTTTTTTTCATACTGTCACCAGTCAGTGTCCCTGATCACCGCCATGCCAGTTATATGATGATGCTGTACTGCACTGGTGACAGTATGTAAAAAAAATAGTGAAAATAAGTTTTTACATTTTTTTCTTTTTCCGAAAAATTATGACAAAAAAAATACAACTTCAAATAACTCGCCATGCCTCTTAGGAAGTATGTCGGACTGTTTACTTTTCAAAAAGGGGTCATTTGGGGGATATCTGTACTGTTCTGACATTCTTGGACCTCAAGAAATTAGATTGGCTGTCAGTACTTCAGGATTGATCAATATCATACCATAGTTTGTGAACGCTATAACTTTCCTACAAACTAAAAAATACATCCTAATTTGGGTTATTTTCACCAAAGACATGTAGTAGAATATATCTTGGCCTAAATTTTGAAGAAGATTTATTTGGAAACTTTTATAGCAGAAACATTTTTTTTAATGGTTGAACTGGATGGACTTTTGTCTTTTTTCTGCCAGACTAACTATGTAACTATCTTGCACAGCTTAGAGAAGGCATAGCCAGGCTACCATTTACAGCCCACATGTCATAGGCATCTCTGCCATTCCTGTTACAGTCATATGTCAATGCTATCTGCAGATGCCAGCAGCCAGGCATGGATAGAGAAGGAGATGAAGATTTAGCTTTTGCCAAAAAAGACAAAAACCAGTAGAAGCACTGCGTAGTCTGCTTAGTCTAAACATTTTGCAGAAATGAAGAATGCAGTAAAACAGCCAATGGAATGGATTTTGAAGGTACCTTTTGCTTCCTTGTTGGGTAATGAAACATTTATTTTAAAAAGATTTGAACATTTGATTTAAAACACTAATTTACAAACATTTTACAAAAGTTTGTTTCACAAAGCTAAAACAAGTAGCAAAAGGAAGGAATAATCTGAATAAAATGACAAATCTTTTTATATTCTGTTTGTAGAGTTTAATAATTGTCGCATTAAACAAATCCTATTTTAAAGTCCACAAATGGTAAAAACTGATTGTCTATTATCATCATGTACTGACAGGAAGTAAAAAATATCTGACACTATTCATTGTGTTATATTTGAATTTGAGTCCATTGAAACCATTTTTAAATGCAGTTGTATTTGTAGAGCTGCATGTCCTGCTTCTTTAGTAATGCCAGAGTAATTCACAACTAAATTGCTTGTGATTCTATAGAGATGTAGAATAATGTGCCCTGTTTCTATAACTGTTACGTTTTCATTCAATAGTTTTTTCTGATCTTTTGTATTCTATATTTCTACTAATATTAAGAGTTTTGTATTAACAATTACTGCTTAGCAATATTATATAATGAATGGGATACTTAATCCTAAAAAGTTTGATTGTGAGTAGGTAGAATCTTGCCTTGTCTCTTGTTCTTGGTGAACTTTGAACTCTTTCCACATCCCATGAACTTCCTAATTTAAACCATGTCTCTGCATTTTCTGTTTGCCAGATTATTATGCTCTGTTCAGCCAATATCCTGGTCCTTTGCAGACCTGCAGCTTACGTTATCTTCCCCACCACTCATTATCGAACTTTGGCTTGTTTCACGACTACACTTCCACTTGATCCCACCTGCAATAATCTATTATCTACCCTTGGCTTGTTCCCCAACTATGATTCTGCTTGGCCCCAACCAGTAACCATGTGTTACTGACCTTTGACTTATTTACTGACTACACTTCCCTGCTTGATCCCTATCTGCTACTGGATCCCAAGTTGCTCATCTCCTGGTGAGGGGATCCCGAGGACCGCAATCTGGCACTATCATGCAGAAAAACCCATCTCCACCCTGCAGATGAGCCCGTGTCATCCGCCAGTGTGACTTGCTTGTATACCTATCCTGCTGGTTGGTAGGAGCCTCTCTACTGCTATATCTACTGAATCACAGAGTCTGACCCATGACCATGACAGGAAGTTTCTCTATGGCATATCTAGAAAAGTGCTGCCTCATTGGAAAGGTTCTCTATGGTACATTTAGAAAAGTGCTACCTCCTTGAGAAGCTCTTGTATGGCACATCTATAAAAGTGCTGCATTGGTAAGAAGTTGCTAATGCTTAACCTAGAAAATGCAGAGAATCTTTGCATACAACTAGAAGACTAATGTCTCTAAAAAGGCTCTTCTTTGTAGATACATAGTGCAAGAATTCCAATTTTCACTAAATACATAATGGTAAACACTTTTACAGATTTAGTGTAAATGGATAAAACTTTTAAGAAACAATAGTTTGAGATGTATTTAATACATACAACATTGTATTTAAAATGCATAAACATAGCATAACCTCTGCAGTGACGGAGAATTGGGGTTAAAACAGTATAGCATAAGACACACTGAGTATGCAAAAATGCAATATAATACAACACAATGCATACCAAAAGCAGTAATAAACACAAGTGAATTGTTCCATGTGACCCAGTACAAAAGTCAATTGCTTTGTTCCAGGTCTTTCTAAAATAAACTATATTGGGACACTTGCCTTTACACGCACATAAATTTTAATGGTATCCCAGTCTTAGTCCGTAGGGTTCAATATTGAGTTAGCCCACCCTTTGCAGCTGTAACAGCTTCAAATCTTCTGGGAAGGCTGTCCACAAGGTTTAGGAGTGTGTCTATGGGAATGTTTGTCCATTCTTCCAGAAGTGCATTTGTGAGGATTCGCACAAAAATACATGCAGCCGCAACACCGGCACAGAGGATTGCGGACCCATGGGCGGGTGCCATTAATTCTAATGGGACGCCGCCCACACTGGAAATCGCAACCGTACTGGGAAACTCGGTTCCAGTGTGGGCTATGTTTTTCCGAAGAAGTGCAACGACTTCCCTGCGTATCCCGGGGCACAGGAGTCCATTCAAAATGCAGCCCGCATGGACGCAGATACTATATATGTGAACCAGGGGTTAGTCCGTAAGGTTCAATATTGAGTTGGCCCACCCTCTGCAGCTATAACAGCTTCAACTCTTCTGGGAAGGCTGTCCACAAGGTTTAGGAGTGTGTCTATGGGAATGTTTGACCAGAAGCGCATTGATGAGGTCAGGCACTGATGTTGAACGAGAAGGTCTAGCTCGCAGTCTCTGCTCTAATTCATGCCAAAGGTGTTCAAACAGGTTGAGGTCAGGACTCTGTGCAGGCCAGTCAAGTTGTTCCACCGCAAACTCGCTCATCCATGTCTTCATGGACCTTTTTTTGTGCACTGGTACGCAGTCATGTTGGAACAGGAAGGGGCCATTCCCAAACTGTTCCCACAAAGTTGAAACTGTCCAAAATATCTTGGTATGCTGATGCTGATTAAGAGTTTGCTTCACTGGATCTAAGAGGCCAAGCCCAACCCCTGAAAAACAACATCGCTCCATAATCCCCCCACCACCATATTTTACACTTCGCACAATGCAGTGAGGCAAGTACAATGATCCTGGCAACCGCCAAACCCAGACACGTCCATCGGATTGCCAAACAGAGAAGCGTGATTCATCACTCCAGAGAACTTGTCTCCACTGCTCTAGAGTCCAGTGGTGGCGTGCTTTACATCACTGCATCTAATGCTTTGCATTGCACTTGGTGATGTAAGGCTTGGATGCAGCTGCTCAGCCATGGCAATCCATTCCATGAAGCTCTCTATGCCCTTTTGTTGTGCTAATCTGAAGGCCACATGAAGTTAGGAGGTCTTTAGTAATTGACTCTGCAGACAGTTGGCGACTTCTACGCACTGTGCACTTCAGCATGAGCTGACCTCCCTCTGTCATTTTATGTGGCCTACATCTTCGTAGCTGAGTTGCTGTTGCTCCCAGTTGCTTCCACTTTGTTATAATACCACTAACGGTTGACCGTGAATATTTAGTATCAAGGAAATTTCACAGATGGACTTGCACAGGTGGCAGCATATCATGGTACCACGCTTGAACTCACTGAGCTCCTGAGAGCGACCCATTCTTTCACAAATGTTTGTAGAAACAGTCTGCATGCCTAGGTGCTTGATTTTATACACCTGTGGCCATGAAGGTGATTGGAACACCTGAATCCGATGATTTGGAGGGGTGTCCCAATACTTTTGGCAATATAGTGTATCTAAACCCAGTAACAATAAATTAATATATTGCACCTTACCAGTAGACATCTTAAATGATAACTCACCTTTCATAAGATGTTACATGTTATACTCATATTCAGACCGGCCCCCACTCCCCTACTTTGACAGCTAGCAGGGGATCTTCTCACCCCTAACTAAATGTCAACTTTTAAAAAATGGAGGCCATGTAGAGCTCTGCCCGCCCACCCATGTTACTCATTCACTGTGTTCTGTGAATGAGAAACCCAACAGCCTTATCAGCTGTGGAGCGCCGTGGTAGTTCATTGATTCCTCGTGTCAGCATACAGTATCTTCTTGCCCGTACATCCCCTATGGGCACGCAGATATACTGACAAATCTGCAGGAGACCTGCATGGCAGCAGAAATCTGTTGATTAATGGTACAATGGTTTACAGGCTCCTGCAACAAAAAATAATAAATGCATATTTTTTTAACTGAAAAAAATGTGCATTTATTGTTTTTTGCATAAAAATCCTTTAAATGTGGTAGCTGCACTAATTCTCTTGTTTTAAGGCTTGTTTCCTTTTTTTCACCTGCCAATTCTGCCAGTAATATATTTCCTGTTCTTAGGTGACAACACTTACTCACTGCAGTCCACAGAGGTAACTTGGGCAGGGACTAAAATATTATTTGAAATATCACTGCAGAGTGAAAATGGCAGTACTGGATTTCTGATTTTTACATTTCTTGAACAGATATAATAAAACTCTCTCTCAGTGGTGTGTTTAAAGAATATGTCAACCCAACATTTTATATTCCTGATATGTGCCTGCTATACCTTGTACTTGCATGAAAAAATATCCTGTTCTCTTTGTATTGCTTCCTTTGTGTGAAATCCCTGGTGTTTCCTGCCAGTCCCTCTGCCTTCCTAATAAAAACTGACCGCACAAGGCAGGAGAACACACTGTGGTCAGTTTTCTAGCTGTGCTGGGAACACAGCCTACTCTCCTCCAATGATCAGACTTGTCCTGACACCCCCCTCTGCACAGTCATTTACTGGGAAGATCAGTGTTCTGCTGTTTCTCCTCCCCTAGCTTTTATGCAGCTGAGAACAGAGATTATGCGATCACTTATAAAAAAGGGAAAAAGGGCATTTATGTTTTTTTTTTATCTACACACAAATGTTTTGCCTTTAAATTACATTTTAAAGGTTTTACAAGGTGAGGGCTTACATATACTTTAAGCTTTAACCTTGGCAGAAAAAAAAAACGCTGGTATAGAGCATTTACGTGCACAGTTTTGGCAAGTTTAGGAGAGTTTAGCATTTTTTTCTGCCAG